AGTCTCGATATCATAATATCTCAACTATCCGTGACGTTAAATGATATCTATGATAAAACGTGAAATAACTATTACATATCTAATATTAATAATGATTTGAATGTTTTTGGTATTAGTGATTGAATTTTCAGAACAGTTAGAAAAGGATTTAAAGAAAATTGGTATAAAAAGTTTTGATTATAGTCAATATAAAGATCATGAAATTATCGGTAGAGGAGGATGTGCAGTAGTATATTCAGCATTTTTTAATAATGAAAAACATGCATTAAAGAGTCTAAACAATAACCTAAGCTTTGATGAAAAATCATTGAAAAGAGTTAAAAGAGAGGTAATACTATTTATTATTTTTGCATTGAACTTTTAAATATTTAAAATTAAAATGACTCCTATATTATAATGGTATATCTTGTGTATAGCTTGAACTTCATTATGAAGTTAATCATGCCAACATCATAAAATTTTTTGGAATTTCAAGATGTACGATAAATATTTTATTTAAAAAAATTTTTAAGTCACGTCTTAAAAAACATAATCTCAAATTATATTAATTAATAATTTTAGGCACACAAATGGGTAACTTTATGTTGGTTTTAGAATTTGCTAATGATGGTAACCTGCGGGATTATTTGAAAAGAAAATGTATAAAGGATGTTTATAAAATTTCATGGATTGAACTTATCAAAATTGCAAAGGAAATTACTCTCGGATTAACGTATTTGCACAGCAAAGAGATTATTCATCGGGATCTTGTAAGTTCTTTTTAACGTCTAAGCATAATTTTGTCGAATTAATAATAATTATATTTCTAAATATCTCTATAAATCTTTTAGCATTCTAATAATATCTTAATAAGTGATGGTAAAGCTTTAATTTCTGATTTTGGAATATCAAAACAATTAAATGATACTACAGCCTCAAGTTCAGTTATGATGGGTGTACCAGCATATGTTGATCCACAGTACCTCAAGAATGGAAATAGATTAAATATGAAATCAGATATTTACAGCCTAGGTGTTTTGTTTTGGGAACTTACAAGCGGAATTCCACCATTTCATAATATTCCCGAAATGGCAATAATCCTAGAAATTTTGAAGAACAATAGAGAAAGAACTATTGACAATACACCATTAAATTATTCTAATCTTTATAAGAATTGTTGGGCTTCTGAACCACAACAACGTCCAGCATTAAGTGAGATTTTAAATGAGCTCGAGAATTTATCATCAGAAACAACCGTTGAATTCATCACAAATATCATTCGTAAAGATAATCATAAGAATTCAACTTTAACAGACAATCGTCATGAAAATCCACACGTAACTACTAGTTAGTATATAGGTATAAATTATTTCACTTTTAGAATAAATGTTTCATCATGAATAATCACTTCTTTCTAATTAAACATATACTTTAATAATAAATATAAACAAAATATGTAAGGTTGTGCTGGCATAGATATTTAAGAAACATTGAAAAGCATTAGGATAAAATGATTGTCTATAACTTATTTAATCAAAGACATTAGTTAGGATAAATGATCCTATAATTTGTTTTATTCAATCGCTTATTAGATAAGTATCCTCACTACATTATAAATTGTGGCAGCTTATGCTGAGATTGGCTTATGCTGAGAATTTGATCTATTTTATTATAAACTTATAAAAATTTTGGGCTTTTTTTGTAGCTTTTTTTTCATAGTTAGGTTAACGGTTTAGGGTTAGTATTATTAATAAAAGAGTATATGTAAATTTTAGTAGATATTATAGATTTAAATGGGGACCCCAATTCTCAGCATAAGCTAATCTCAGCATAAGCCGCCACATAAATTATTATTACAATTAGATCTCCCTAAGTGTACAAACTATTATTGTTCATGCTTATTGTGGGTACATTTAGGGAAGTCTGACTGTATTATTCAATCAAATTAAGAAAAGTGTTTTTTAAATAAAATATGTTTCTTACAAAAAAAAAGCTGTAATAGCAGTATTCAATGTAATCAATGATTAAAGTTTAATAATTTATTAAATTTTGAAAGCTAAATCCTTGATGCCTTATAAAGGCTATATGAATGTTTTGAAATCAGATATTGTCTAAGCAGATCAATGATCTAGGTCATATTTCCGATAGTATTTATAAAAGGTTGAAGTCTTGCAAGCATTTATTTTAAGTCAAACAAGTTATTAGAATCATTAGATTATATTGAAGATAAAATTAAATTTTTTCAAAAATCAATGTATCCAGACCCGGCGCGGCTCACTTTACCGACACAAAAATTTCGGTGAATTGAGTTCGGTGAAATGTTACGTCTATGAAATGAGTGTCGGTGAAGTGAGGCGTAATCATCTAGAGCAGTGTTGCCACTGGAATGATTTTTTGCCACTGGAAGGCAAGAAATTTCCCACTGGAAGGCAAATTTACAACGCTGATCTAGAGCTTTCTAAATAACTCGCTGTACTCCGATTAATTGCTACAGTATTTTTTTTTAGGATTTATTTGCATAACGTATATATATATGTTGGCAAAATCCCAAACTATTATAGTTTGGGGTTGGGCGTCCCAAATCCAAAACTCTGACCAAACTTATATCTCAAAAATTTTATTAATGATCTTCATTTAAACAAATCATAAATATATTTATAACTTATATATAATATGTTTGCAAAATTTTAAATTTAATTTTTTTGATTCAATTTTTTATAAATAGCAATTGTATTTTTGGGATTTGGGATTTGTCCGGGTTTTGCCAACAAGTCTAAACATATAGTTTTAGTATCCATTATATATAATTACATTTATACCGTTTGGCAATTGCGGACAAATTTGCCTGTACTCATATTTAAAAACTTGGAAGTTGCCTAAGATAAATATGAAATATTGAAATCAAATATTCAAATTAATTCTAATCTCGATTCTGAATCAAAAAAACTATTCTATTTACAGAATATCTTGGCCAATAAATTCTTAGGAGTATAAATGAGGATGGACTGAGAAGACTACCACTTGGCACTTTCTTACTATTTTGAAATTTTCAATTTTAATTAAGATCTTTGACACTCATTTATTCGCTATGCAATTGTATCTTATGTTAAATTAATAATAAATTAATTAGATATATTCACTAGCAAAATTTAAAACTTGGACATGTTGAATAGCATAATTCTATGTTATTCGACATGTTATATCATGAACATGCATGCTTTCGAAGTTATGTGGTTGTAGATTAGAATACAAGTTTAGTGGAGAATTATTTCATCCAGCATACCAAGTGTTTCAATTTTGAATAATGATTAAAAAACAAATTAATTCCTTATCATTAATATTTAATAAAATAGTAATGCAATATAGTTGCGCTAAAACCAGGGACAAACACACCAGTATGCTATATTTGAAGTTCTAACTTTGTGTAAAATTAGTATAATTAATGACCGAATGGATGGTGATCACAGACCGGCAATTTTTTGTGACTACATTATTATAAATAAGTTTATATATTTAAGAACTGTCGCGCTGATGCTGAAATTGCCTGATGCTGAAATTTGGAGTCTCAATTTGAAAATATAAGCCCTACTCTCTTGGGCTTCCTCAAATTAAATGTCAGATTGATTGATATAGTTGTCGCCTAGCATACCCCTGAAAAAAAGTTACGAAACTGATTTTAAAATTTTCTGAATAAAAGCTCCATTTGCAAAATTACAAGAATAAACTATATTCTCTCTTACGCATTACTGAATAGTAGAAATATTATATTGAAAGTTTATATACACTACAATTTGAATATAAAATTTGAATAAATTGATTATATATATGTATTAAATTGTTTCGTTTTAATAATTGTATTAGCTAGTTCGACAAATTATTTGTACTATTTATTGCATTACTGCATTATTCGTAAATAATTTATTCCAATAAAATGTATTTTTATTTCTTCCTGCCCAAATTTTTTTGCATTTTAAACTTTTAGATCATTAACCATTCGTTCAATTGATTTAAAATTTGGTCCAATATTTTTTAGCCATTTTTTCTTACTAAAGAAGTTTAGACAACTTAGGAATTAAAGTGTTTACCTATATAAAATCTTATTAATATTTATACTGTATTATATTAAAATTATTAAATTATAAATATATAGTATATTCATTTAGTATTTTTGATAATCATTCAACATTTTCATCATTGCTAGGATTTGTTTCATCTTCTGTTTCATCAACATTCATTTCATTATCTAAAATTGATTCATATCTTTATATTATAAATTTGTAAAATTGTTGCTTATTACTTTGTCTTTTTTTATTAACTTCTAATTGTTTGATTAGTTTTGGATATAAGCAGATAAGTTTATTTCAATATATCTTTAATTTAAAGCTTTAGTTTAATTTATATTAGATTACTTGAAAGAATAGAATTTTGTTTAAAATTTGTTCTTGTATACTCTAAATACACATATTACACTTCTTTTTTTTAGAAAAATATTTGATTTTTTTAAATAAGTAGCAACTTTTGCAGTATTTAATTATTTTCTTAATATTGTATAAGTAATTAGCAGCATTTAAGTAAAAAATAAAAAAATAATTAAGAATTGATTATTAATACAATGTAGAAATAATAATAATTATTATAATTACTAATAACTAGATTTTGTTTTTTATTTGTAATGAAATTTGGGTCTTGTCTAATAACATTATTTAAGCATATAATCTTGAATATAGATAGATCTACAATTTGATAACAAAAATTAATAAAAGCAACTCAAAAAATATAGATCATATTAAAAAAGTAGATTAACTAATAATATTTAGGTAATACTAATAGAAAACCAGATTTTGGTCATATAAAATTTATATATACAGTATTTGATTTTTTTAGCATCTATTTAGAATTTTATTATATTAACTTAAAAAATTAGATATAGTATTAATTTAGCTAATTTTATTAATAAGTATCCATTAGCTATACTAAATTTAATACAAAATTTTAATTTAGTATAGTTAAAAAACTAAATTTTGAAAAAATTTTATTATTAACCTTATATCAAATTTTTATAATAGATAAATATATATTTATTTAATCTATTTATAATTTTAGAAGTATAGTCAACCTCCTCTAGTTATCTTCTCTATAGTTATAAAATTAATATAATTACAAATTTATTTTTACTAATCATTTATAACTACTATATTTATGCAAAATAATGCATATCTGTATATTATTTCAAGAAGATATATATTATTTTGAGTATATCTAGAGGTGTCATTTTAAGGCAAAAATACACCCAATTACTAATAGTAAATATCAAAGTAATTTATTAATATTAATATAAGGGGTGGTATTATTTTAGGATACATATGGACATTATTTTAAAACTAATTATGCTATTTTAAAAAAAATACTTTTTAAAATAATATTTATATATATTGTCATGGCTGATTATAAAATTAGATTATTGTGAAATTTGGATCTATTTCATGTACGATTTTTAAAATTTTTTGGGCCTTTTTTGTAGACTTTTTTTTATAGTTGAGTTAGGATTTAGGGTTAGAGTTTT